TTTTGTTGGGGAAGGAGGTTTAGAAACCAAGACTGGGGGCTGAGCTCAGTGGCTCACACCTGTAATCCCAGCACTTTGGGAGGCCAAGGTAGGCAGATCACTTGAGGTCAGAAGTTCGAGACCAGCCTGGCCAACATGGTGAAACCGTGTCTCTACTAAAAATACAAAAATTAACCAGGTGGATGCCTGTAATCCCAGCTACTTGGGAGGCTGAGGCACGAGAAACGTTTGACCTGGGAGGTGAAGGTTGCAGAGAGCCAAGACTGCACCATTGCACTCCAGCCTGGGTGACAGAGTGAGACTCTGTCTCAAAAAAAAAAAAAAAAAAAAAAAAAAAAAAAAAAAAGAAAAAGAGAAAAAGAAAAGAAAAAGAAAAAGAAAAAGAAACCAAGATTGGGGTGGTAGTGGGGCTCATCGACACTGGGCTGTCACTGGGCTTAGGCTCTTTCGGCAGACAGGGTCTGTTTGGATAGATTTAAGTCATGAGCTCATGCTTTTTCTTCAAATTCCAGTCCAACACCACAGGCTTCTTTCTCATCTTCTCTCTTCCATATCTGTAGCTTCCTTGGTGACAACTTTGACTTGCCAACATTAAGATATTTGCTTGTTTGCTCAAAGCTACTATAGCCACGAAATCATTTCAGGTTTGATGAACAATAAACCTATTAAATAAAGTTCAAGCTAGTACTATTGCCTCTAGACCGAGGGTAACAGTCTTCAGGTAGTTAAGAGGTTACATGTGTTTGTTCTCTCCCCCCTCTCTGTGTGTCACAGTGCTATGATATTACTCTGCTCTACAGGTAGTTAATTTCCTTTTACTGGTGATTAATTTTCGTTTTTTTCCTATTCTTATTAATTGAATTTAATGTCTTTCTTTCTTCCTCCTTCCTTTCTCTCTCTCTCTCTTTCTTTCTCTCTCTCTCTCTTTTTTTTTTTCAGATGGAATTTCACTCTTGTTGCCCAGGATGAAGTACAGTGGCACAATCTTGGCTCACCGCAACCTCCGCCTCCCGTGTTCAAGGGATTCTCCTGCCTCAGCCTCCTGAGTAGCTGAGACTACAGGCATGTACCATCATACTCGGCTAATTTTTTGTATTTTTAGTACACGGGGTTTCTCCATGTTGGTCAGGCTGGTCTCAAACACCCAACCTCAGGTGATCCGCCCACCTCAGCCTCCCAAAGTGCTGGGATTACAGGCGAGAGCCACCGCGCCCGGTCTTAATGTCTTTCTTAATCCCTGTCTTTGGCTCTGCCCATCTCGATGTTGAACAATGTCCTGACCTAAACAATGTCAGGGGCTGGGGTGTGGATGGGGGAATGAAAATGCTGGTGGTGCTGCTGGGTGCTTCCTCTGCTTTAGGCTTTCACAAACTGTGGGCTGCCCACTGCTGGCTCCAGGAGAGATGATTTTATACACACTCGGCATTAAGTACATCAGTAAATCCCACAGTGAGACATTGTTTTTTTTTTTCTGGCCGTCCTTCATTCTCTGATTGCTTGGAGGAGAAAGTCTCAGGTTGGAACTACTGTGGCTTTAATTCTTCTTTACCACTTGCGGATCTACCTTCATGACAACGAGATAGGGGCTCTAGCACAGAGCCTGCAGGAGGCGACCACCTTGAGATGGAGGAGATGACCTTATTTTATTTATCTATCTGTTTGTTTCTTGGAGCCAGGCTGCCTGGTTTCAAATCATAATGCTGCTGCATTCCAGCTGTGACCTTGTGCAAGCTACTTAAGGGCCCCGTGCCTCAGTTTCCCCTTCTATATAACTGAGATACAATGGTACCCATCTCATGAGGTTTTTATGGGGATGAATGTGTTAATGTTAGTAATGTGCTTAGCAGAGTGCCTGGCACATGGTAAGCACTTGTTATATTCATTTTTGTGTTGATGGGAAATGATTCCAGTTTTCCATTCAGGGTGGTGATGCAACGTTTCCTTTTAAGATACATTTAGTTCAGGGAGCCAATTAAAAACAAAGAATAAGTTTGCAAACAAGTGCTCTGCAGATTTAGCAAAAGTCATCAAAGTGTTCTGGAACGGACTGAGTTTGGGAAACAACGCTCGGACGTTCATTGAACAGGCTCCAGTAGCTTCAGCTTTGCTCTAGCCTCTCACAAAGTGCTTCAAAGGGCTTTATAAGTATTTGACTTATCTGAAGTTTTGTAACAACTCTGGGAGGCAGGAATGATGATTGTCCCTGTTCTACAGGTGAGGGGACTGAGGCACAGAGAGGTCAATTAACTGGTCCCAAATTGCACAGCTGGGAGGTGAACTTGGGCTGCCTGGCTCCAGAGTTGTGCCCTTGGCTACATGGCCAGGCAGGCCCCTTTTGCAGAGGAGAGCAGTTGATGTGTCAAAGGACACCCATGAGTCTGGGACGGATCAGGGGCTGAGCACAAGGGTGTGCCTGGTGCTGCTGAGATGGACTCCAGGGCCAGGTGAGACGCAGGGCTCAGCTGGCCCTGTCGGGACAAACGTGCTCTTCCGTCTCACAAACAATAATAAATATTTATCATGTGACACTTCTCATAGGTGGGACCACTGCTTCTTTGAGGAGAAATGTGGACTAGCCTGAGAACTTCAGGAACCAGGAACGTGGGACCCTGGGACCCACCCCCCGATCCCTCCCATTGGGCTAGGCTCTTAGACGCTGCCTCCCTGAGTCTTCGCAACCACTCTGTGATGGAAACACAACTTTTCCATTTTACAGAGGCCTAGAGAGGTGGAGGGACTTGCCCATGGTGACAGAAGAAGCAGGGTCACAGTGTGAACGCAGGTGCTGGGACACCTGTTGGCTGCCTACCCACTCCTTCTAACATCCCCAGATCTCCTAAGTACCTAGTCCCTCGCCCCCACCACAGCCAGCATGCCCCAGGGGGAGACCCCTCAACTCCAAGAAGGGCTCCGCTGGGCTGGAACCAGTGAATGCCTCCCGTTCTCTTGGCCACAGGCTTTGGGTCAGGGTTAGTCATGTGACCCAAAACTGTGCAATCAGAACAACCGCCCAGCGGACTCCTGGATGAATATTGGAGTCTGTTTCTTCCTATATGGGAATCAGGAGCGTGTGCCACCATGAGCAGCTCAGGGTCATGCTGACTTGGGAACCTATGAAGACGACAGAGGTCCTTGAAAGCCTCACCCAGCTCCTTAACAGCCAGCACCACTCTGAGGACTCGGCTTTGCTCACGCTAGCCCACAAACCCGCTTGTGTAAGTCGGGTGGAGGCTTGGAGCTGGGTTTCCTTTCCTGCAGCTGGAAACATTCTGAAATGCAGGACTTCTGGATTCCAAAGCTTGAGCCCTTTCCCTAGCATGAGCTGCTTCTCTGCATAGCCACATTCCAAAAGTCGAACACTTCAGCACCATTTTCCTCTATGCTTTGGGCTCCGGACACCAGGTTTACAAAGGATTTTGCTGCGCAACAACTTTGCATGAGGTGCGGCCCTTCCCAGCGTATTTCCCTGCTGCCCCCCAAGTTTAAAAATAAGAAGATGCATGAAAGAACACTTCAAAGATTATAAGGTGCTCTCTGCCTGCCGCCCCTCCGCTCCACAAATAATAACTAGCTGCTGTGTCAGGCATTGCAGACACAGAGGTGAACAAGTCCCAGAGCTCATTCTCTTGGAGTTTACAGTCCAGCTGCGGAGGCAGGCTAGTAACCGGCTGATTATCGCCTATGGTAACTGTCCTGATGGCAGAGTTCAGCACAGCATGTAATTGGGGCAGAAAGGAGTGGGACTACCTTGCCCCGCCTAGGTGCAGGTGGGTGGGTCAGAGGCGGTTGAAGCCAGAGCTACATCTTGAGATGAAGGAGATTGGTGAGGTGTTCCTGACAGAGGGCTCAGCCCGTCAGAAGGTGTGTGGGCTTTAGAGAGCACACATGGTGTGTGTGTTAAGGAAAGCGTAAGCATGCCAGGGTGGTGGAGGGCAGGGGCAGGGAGTGGAAGGTGGAGGCACCAAGTTGGAGAAGTCTGTGGGGCAGGGGACGAAGGTGCCAAAAGGCCAAGCCAGCGTCTGGGACAGGGTCTGGCACCACTGAGGAGCCACCGAAGAATTTCAAAAAAAGAGTACGGCACGGTCAGAATGGATTTGGGAAAGGGCACTCAGGGCACAGGGGAAATAGCTTGGGTGGCAGGTCTGTGTCTGTACCTGAGGACTCTTGAGTCTGGCCTCACAGTCCCTGTACCCCAGGCCTCTGCCCCCTCCAGTGCCATTTGACCCCACCAACTCCCACCTGAGCCAACTGTGAGCCATTTTCTGGCTGGGTGGTCTCGGACAAGTCACTTCCTCTCTGGAAGCATCTGTTTCTCCATCTCCGTCTCACCATGAGTAGAGTCTCACCGGCTTCAAGGACCATGACTGGAATCTCAGTCATGGCACCACAAGTGAGAGTCCCTCGTGCCTGTACAGGGCCATGCTCATGCACGGGGTGGGTGTTTGCACCCAGTTTCTCAAACTCCTGTGGCTCCTGGCTGAGTCAGAGCTTTGACGTGCTTTGCTGCCCTGGTCCCAGCTTCGGGGACTACACCCTCTCCCTGTCCTTTGCAAGAGATGCTCTAGGTCACGTCCTGGTGTTCACCCATCATTGTTCTGTGCACATTAGATGTTGTCAGAATTTGCTGATCCCCAGCACGGACACCTAACCCCTTTTTCCCACCGTGGTTTCACACTGGAGGACTCATTGACCTCGGTCACTGCTGCCATCTTTTATTCTTACCTCCTTCCTGTGTGTCAAGAAGCAAACATAGGCTTAGATCAAGTAGTCTTTGAAGCATCCATCCATCCACTCCATCCATCCGTCCACCCATCCATCCATCCCATCTATCTGTCCATCCATCCATTCATCCATCTATTCATCCATCCATCCATCCTATCCATCCATCCAATCTATCCATCCTGTCCATCCATCCAACCATCCCATCTATCTGTCCATCCATCCATTCATCCATCTATTCATCCATCCATCCAGCCTGTACATCCATCCATCCACTATTCATCCTTCTATGCATCCATCATTCATCCATTTGTTCACCATCAGCATCCATCCATTTGACCTCTATCCATCCACCTGTCTATTCCTTTATCTGTCTTTCCATCCATCCATCCATCTTCACTGAGCCCCTTCTCTGTGCACACACTGTGCTCAGCTGTGGGGAGAGGTGGATGAAGATGGGTCTGTGCCTGCTCTCATGGGTGATGTGCTTGTTCAGGTCAGTGTAAGCATGTCTGTGGGGTGAAGGGCAGGGTGCAAGGTTGTGGAGTTTGAGGCAGGAGGCTGAAGAGACCCACTGGGGTCAGGGTATAGCCTGGTGGGGGACATGAATGTACACAAGTAGGTCTGGTAACTTTAGATGGTCCGAGTGTCATGGAAGGAGGAAACAGGATCCAGCCATCCAGGGAGAGATGGGGGGGGGTTCATGGGAGCACTGGAGGTGGCATAGAGCAGGACCCCCAAGAGATATGGAGTGGATTGGTGGACAGGTGGGCTCAGGGGCAAACTGCAGCCAGACAATTTGTGGAGCCCAAGGCAAGATGACCTTCCCCAGGGCTCTGAGGCTTCTGTCCAAATGGGAAAGACCTGGGTTCAAGTCTCAGCGCTGCCATTTCCCGACTGTGACCTTGGGCAGGTCACCTCCCCATTTGGACGCCAGTTTCATGACATCTAGAATCCACCTGATGGTGACAATGTACCTAAAACGGCATAAAGCAGCCCAGCCCACCGAGTACGTGCCAAATACATGCCCACTCTCACTGAGCATGTTCTCTTCCTTCATGACTTCCAGGGCCCCTGAAAACCCTTTCTACAGTTTCTCCACCTGCAAAATGGGACAGTGCCAGTGCCTGGCACCTAGTAAGTGCTCAGTTAGCGTTAGTGGTGGCCGCGGTTGCCACAGCAGTTGACCCACCCTTTAGTCTGCACCTCGAAGACCCCCTTCTGCTTCTGGCCACATCTGCCCCAACCCAACTGCTTCCTCTTGCCTCCTCTCCATGTTATGTTGGGCTGCATGTCCCAGGGCCCTTGACCCGGTGGTCCCCTTTGCGATGGCCCTTCCCTCTGACCGCCTCCCACCTTCTCCTTACCCTGTCTCCTCCGTCCCTCTATCCCCCTCCCCTGCTGTCTTTTCTCCTGATGTTTGCCAGGATCTGAAAGCGTTTTTTGTTTGTTTGTTTTTGTTTTCGTTTCTCGTGTTTATTTCTGTGTCCTCGTGTAGTTTGGAGGTTCCAGAGGGCACCGCCTTTCAGAGGTCTTGTTCCCTGTGCATCCCCGGTTCATCGTGCAGAGCCCAGCACACAGTAGGGGCACAGTGCCTATCGGTAAGAAGGAAGGAAGAAAGGGAGGGAGGGAGGAAGCAGGAGGGATGAAGGGAGGGAGAGAAGGGCAGTGGAGGCCCGTGGGGGCCGGGCGGGGTGGCTGATGGGGAGAAGCCCCAGGCCTGCAGCCCCAGTGGTGGACCTGGGAACGCTGTTGGAGCGTTCAGGAAGCGTCTGCCGAGGGGAATAACAGAGCTGGCAACCATCCGGGCGCCTGAGTCTCGGTTTCTTCCTGATGGTGTGAAGACTTCATTCTTGACGCCCCTTGGGAGCCAACAAGGGGTCTCCAGCGCCACCTGCCGGGAATCTGGGAAATGGCCATACAGTCCTACCAAGGCTCGCCCGCGGCCTGGACATTCCTCAATAAACGCCACCAATGCCAGCAACAGCAACAGCTCCTCTTTATTAAAGAGTTACTCTGCGTCAGACAACGTACCAGGTACTTGAAAGATAGGATGTCCTAATCTCCAGACCCCTTGAAAGGCGGCTGACATTATCCTCATTTATTTATGCAGACCGATGAGGAAACAGACTCGAAAGGAAGAACCGCTCAGCCCGGGCCGCATGACCCGTGAGTGGCGAGTCTGGATTCGAACTCAGGTCTCTCTGCTCCCAAAGTGCAGAGCCCCAAAGGGCTCAGCTGTGCTCTGGAGAAAGGCAGAGAGGGAACAGGAGAGTGGGTATGGAGGGCGGGAGGCTGGGGCTGAGGGCACAGCAGCTCCCAGGAAGGCCCCCCAGCGGTCACTCCCTTGCAAGGACTATGCGGTCCCAAGGCCTTGCTCTGAGCCCTCCTCAGGACCCCTTCCAGCCTCCCTGGGCATGAGCTCCCTCATCCAATGTCACAGTTGGGGAAACTGAGGCACAGAGCCTAGAGGCCCTGGAGAGGTCACTTCCCCTCTTGGATACCAGTTTCATTACCTCTGGAATCTTCTTGATGACGATAATGCACCTAAACATCTCATCGAGCAGCCCAGCACAGCCCAGCTAGGATGTGCCAAATAAATGCTCTCTCTTGTCATGCATTCGCTCCTCCTTCTCACCTTCTGCCTTCCTGGGAGTGTTGGGCAGAGGACAGCGTGACCCCAGGCCATGGCCTGGTGCTCTAGGGGTTGCAGGGGGTCAGCTGGAGAAGGTAAGGCAGACATTCATGCCAGTCTCCACAGCCTATGCCAACCCTGTCAAGTTTGGGGGCCTTCAGGTGAGGCTGGCAGAGCGGGCTGGGAGGGCCTCTGCGGGACACGTCCCGTGGTGCATACTTACCAAGGGCCCCGTTCGCCACTGTTCGGAAGTCCGGTTACTGGAGAACGTGTTGCCGAAATCAGAAAGCCCAGCGTTCTTTTTCTGACCCTGCCACTTCTAGCTCAGCGATCTGGAGCTTCTGTCAAGGCTCTCGAGCCACCTTCGTCTCTCTGAGTCTCAGGTTGTCCCTCTGTAAAATGGGAGTCACAGTCCTGATCTTTTCATGCTCACTTGAGAGTCAAGTGAAAACACGTATACAAAGCCCTGAGCACACTCTAACTGCTTGATAAATAAAATTTTGAAGGACCCCACAGACACATAGTGGCCAAGCCTCGACGCCTCTTCGATGCTGAGAAGCAGGTGGTGTGCCATGCCTCTGCAGAATTGGGGAAACTGAGTCACCAGCCAGGAAGTGCCTGGGCTCAGACTTCAGCCTGAGTCACAGCCCTAGTGCTGGGAAACCTGCTCGCAGCCACCTCCAGACACGCTTTGTGCCTCTGTCTGCGGGTGTCCTCTCCTCCCTACCCGTCTCACTCCCTGCCCCAGCAGCCAGGGGGGCGCTGGCCAGAGCACACCACAGCCAGGGCAGCTTCATCCTAGGGATGAAGCACACAGTAGGAGCTCACTACACATCTGATGAGCAGCTGATGCTCTGAGATACACAATTTTAATCCCGCTTTACAGGTGAGGGATTTTGAAAGGCGTGCTGATTTGCCCGAGGCCACACAGCTACGCTGGGGAAGGACCCTGAACTCGCCCCCCGTCGTGACCATCGGAGAAAGCTCTGGGTGTCTGAACTCCCTCTGGGCTATCCAGGTTCACTCTCCCAGTTCAGGCCTGGGATCAAAGGCAGCTCAGCAGGAAGCCCTTCCCATCCCACTTCCCCAGAACTAGGACACGCTTTGACGTCAACACATCCACATTCCTGCCCTCCAGCCCCGGGGCGGGGGCACTGAATTTCCTCCCTCCAGCGTTGGCATCACAAACAGGAATCTAGGTCATGTGTGCAGGGCCAGGCCCAAGGCTTTGGAGGAGGAGGGGGCTGATGTCCAATCCCGGCATCAGTTCCCTCCCTGGGGCACCCAGGAGTGGAGGGAGTCCTGTTACACTGTGCCCCGGGCCGTGCTGTTCCTAAAGCTGCCTACAAAGGGCCTTCATGGACTGCTCTTTTCAGCTGGCTCCACCATTCGGGGCCAGTCTCACGGATTGACAGTACCGGCTACCACGGATGGGGCCCTTCAGGCGTGGACTTTACATGAGTCCTCTCATGTGATGCTCCTGAACAATCCCTTATCTTCCTTTGACAGATGAGGCCGCTGAGGCACTGGCAGGTTATGTCAGTCGTACAAAGTCCTGCAGCCATGGGGATGGGGAAGGGTGGGAATCTGGACCCAGGCGGTCTGGCCCAGAGCTGTTGCCAGGAGCCCAACAGGGATGGCCTCCTCATCAGCTCAGCCCCTCAGGTGCAATGTTGGAACTTGCAAATCTGATGATCTTGCCAGCCTGGAGTAATACTTTTGCCCCAGGGACAAAATCCGTGCTCTGAGGATGGCATTCATCGCTCGTGATCTGCTGCTGGTCCCAGCCCCCCAGCCCCATTTCCTGCTTTAAAAGTCCCAAGCCACCCCCGATTCTCTAAACCACCTTCATTTTTTTCATAATGACCATCTTTGATTGGGGAGCAGTCCAAGGATCAAAGGAACAGGGTCTGTACTGGGTCACAAATGTGTTGGAATCCACACCTGGGTCTGGCTGAACTTCCAGAGTCCGCAGTTCTCCAGGGTGAGTCTGCAGACGAATGGTTCAGATGGCAGTGGTCCAGGCCCGCTTCCGGGGAGGCAGGGGAGGGTGCTGGGAACCCGCATGGCCAGTGCTCGACAACCTTCTGCGGCCCTCGGGCTGTCTGTTGGGCTTTGAGTGGGCACAGAAGCTGCAAGATACCTCCTGGGGCTTTTCCACCTGGTGGACCTTACCCACTCAGGAAGCTCTTGTAGGCCTGGGACACTGGCCTCACCTTCCATGGAGCAGCCTGACCTGTCACTCCCCTCCCTCAGGGTCCTCCAGGTGAGTCGCCCAGGCCTGAGAAAGGGCTGGTGTAGACCAGAGGCTCTCACACTTGACTGCACATCAGAATGTTCTGGAACGCTTTCAGCCACAGGTTGCTGGGTGGACAGGTGCGGCTGCTGCTCAGGGACCGCACTGAGAACCACTGAGGAGGTAGCCAGATGCAGGGGCAGCTCATAGGCAGGCAAGGGGTGGGAAGGCATCACCAAGCTCCACTGGGTACAGCTGTGCCTTAGTTTCCCCGTCTGCAGGCCTGGAGAACCTGCCTCTCGGAGTTGCCGGGATTGAAGGCATGTGAGAGTAAGGGGCCAGTATCTGTTTTTCTTTCCCACTTAGAAGTCCCCTTTCAGGCTGGCTCCATCTACGAATGTTTGCTGTGCAAACACATATGTTCCTGCCCCAGGCTCTGGGGCTCAGTTCCTAGGGGGGCAGCAAGGATTTCTGCCATCACCCTGAGGGCAGAGTGTCTGCTGGTCACAACTGAGAAGCTGCTGGGGAAGGCGTCAAACCAGGACTTAGTCTCTGTTTGCCCAAAGTGCTTTACAGGGAGGCCACGGCGTCCACCCGCTGGGCGCCCGGCCCCTTTCCCTCGCTGGGGGACCCCTCCCTGGAGTCCACGTGGCTGTCCCCAGCAAGGGGCTGGCGATTTCCCGGGTTTTGGCGCCCTCTGGTGGTCGTCAAACAAAGGAACAAAGGCTTGGAAGGCAGAGAGTCTGACCCCAGGACTTTGCAGCCTCCCATCTACGGGGATGCATTCATTTCTTTCTTCATCCATCCAGTCCACAAACATTTTTTGAGTGCCCACTGAGTCCTTGCCGCTGGAATAGGCATTGGGGGCACATTGGACGAAGCTAGACAAGATGGGTGCTCTGCCCACATTCACAGTCCATCAGGGAATGTATTCACGCGCCTACACAGACGTATTAACAGATTCTGTGTTAGAAATGCGTGGAGGAAAAATTCAGGGTGCACGAGAGCGTATGTCTGAGGGACTGCCCGTGACCCAGGCAGCCAAGGCCCCTGGGAGAGAGGCTTGATTGAAAGTTACGAGCAGGGAGTGGGGGTGAAGTCAGGCTGTGAGTTTTCCTAGAGCACGCAGCATGTGCAAAGGCCCTGGGCAGGGAGGAAGTCTGGTGAGTGTGGAAGCCAGAGATGTCGAATGGGAGGGGCAGCTGTGGGAGAAGGGCCAGGAGGCAGACTGGCCTGATTTCACAGCCAGATACATAATAGCTATCTCCATTATTTTTTCAAGTTTTCTTTGATACCTTGTAAATGTTTATTGTTTTCTGTATTAGCTACTTTCCATGTTGCAGGAAGTTTACTACAGGAAGATTTCTGCTTCATGGTGGGTGGTGTAGTAACTCATTTCAGATCAGCCCTCCCACTTAGAACATCTAGAGAACCTGGACAAATATTTGTTTAAAAAATTTTTTGAGACAGAGTCTCATTCTGTCGCCAGGCTGGAGTGCAGTGGTGCTATCTCGGCTCACGGCAACCTCTGCCTCCCGGGTTCAAGCGATTCTGCCTCAGCCTCCCGAGTAGCTGGGATTACAGGCACCTGCCGCCACATCTGGCTGGATTTTGTATTTTTAGTAGAGACAGGGTTTCACCATGGTAGTCAGGCTGGTCTCAAACGCCTGACCTCAAGTGATCTGTCTGCCTTAGCCTCCCAAAGTGCTGGGATTAGAGGTGTGAGCCATTGTTCCCTTGGATGAAATATTTTTAAATCTCTATGCAAACACCAGTGAAACACCCAGGAAGACAGGCCTTGCGGAGCCAGTGTGTGGGGCTGCCTTTCCCTGAGAGCAGCTGCCTGTTCAGAGACAGCAGCCCAGTAGCAAGTCACAGTGGCAAGGCTAAGATAAGCAGAGCTTCCATGGGTCTCATAAGGACAGAGGGACAAAAAGCGATTTCAGGGCTGGCCACAGGCTGAGGGGAACGTGTGAACACCCTGGGTTTTCAACTGAGATCCCTCCCTAAGGGAAATTCCCTAGAAATAAGAGGAAATCAGAAATAGGTCAGATTGGCCAGGCACGGTGGCTCACGCCTGTAATCCCTACACTTTGGGAGGCCAAGACGGGTGGATCACTTGAGGTCAGGAGTTTGAGACCAGCCTGGCCAACAGGGTAAAACCCAGTCTTTACTAAAAATACAAAAAAAATTAACCAGGCATGGTGGCGCACGCCTGTAATCCCAGCTACTCAGGAAGCTGAGGCAGGAGAATTGCTTGAAGCTGGGAAGTGGAGGTTGCAGTGAGCCGAGATAGCACCACTGCACTCCAGCCTGGCGACAGAGCAAGACTCTGTCTCAAACAAAAAAGAAAGAAAGTAAGAAAGAAAGAAAGAGGTCAGTCTTTAAAAGGATGAAAGCCCACCCTGGTGTCATCTCAATCCCTCTTTAGATTAAGGAGATTAAGGTGGTCTGCCCTCTGGGGAGAAAAATAAGATCTTAAAGATATTCAATCATTTTGTTTCAATCTGCCTTCCTTTTTGACCTGTGATCTAATTCGTAATCTAATACATCTATCGCATACGTTTTCATATGTTGTATTTCCATTTTAATTTAGTTTTTATTTCCATTTTTATTTCATTCCGAATATTAATATTTCCTCTTTTCCGTTGAATTCTTCTTTGACCCAGATTATTAAAATTGCATTGCCTAATTTCTAAGTAGTTGGGATTTTCTAATTATCTTTGGCTGTTGGCTTC